ATTAAGTTACTCTTTTATTTGAAAAACTTGCTGGCATGTGTTGACTGACTTTGTTCTCTCCTCCCTGTTCCCATGTATTAATCTCACTTAATTCGTATGGAAACCTCTGGTTGACACAGTTAAAGGCCTTTTTGAGAATTAAAAATAAACTTTTGTTATTAAAATAGCAGCAAATATACATTGTAGAAAGTTAGAACTCACGAATGAATGAGACTAGGAGAGAATACAGCAATCCTGTTGCCCATCCCATTATTTTCTGAATTTCGTCTCCCTTACACGCTGGCCATGTTCAGATTTCCCTGTTTGCCCCCACTTGACATCCACATCTGCTTAGCTAACGTAAGGGTCACTCTAGGACCATGTGTTGCGTCTGGTTATGTGTCCTCTGGGCCTCTTGTAATGTAGCATAGTCCCTCCTTTTCTTTATGACCCCGTCTTGCTAGAGAAATTGCACCAGGTGTAATTTCAAAATAGCCTACCTTCCAGATGTTTCTGATTGTTTCATCCTGGGTTTCTTTAGCTTCTTTCTCTCTTTTATATTTTCCTGAAAACTGGATGTCTTAGTCCATTTCATTGCTATACAGAAATATGCAAGGCATAGCTGGGCGTTGTGGTGGGCACCTGTAGTCCCAGCTACTTGGGAGGCTGAGGCAAGAGAATCGCTTAAGCCCAGGAGTTGGAGGTTGCTGTGATCTGTGATGTCCCGGCACTCAACCGAAGGCAATAAAGTAAAACTCTGTCTCTAAAAAGAAAAAGAAAGAAATATATGAGGCTGGATAATTTAAAAAGAAAAAAGGTTTACTTGGCTCATCGTTCTAGATGGCTGGAAAGTTCAAGATTGAGCATCAGCAGCTGGTGAGGGTCTCTGGCTGTTTCCACTCTTGGCTAGGGTGACCAGATTTTAACATTGGTTAACTGGGACAACATGGCTGGGGGGCGGGACCCAGGCCTGACAACAATGCAAACTTTGATAAGCAGTTCTCAATAATCACTTCTCAACAATTATTTGTTATTATTACAGTTTAACATTATAAAATTAACAAAAATAATATAAAACTCATATCCTGGCAAAATAGCCACATCGCAGCGGAAAACCATATATTCCCTTCCCGTTCTCCCGCCCGTTCGTGCATGCTTTCCAAAAATCAGGACTTTTTAAAAATGCCGCAGGACACGTAACAAATTGTTCAAAAGTGGGACATCTGGTCACCCTCCTCTTGGCAGAGGGCAAAGGGGAGCTGATGTGTGCAGATCACGTGGCAAGAGAGGAAGGAAGAGCGGGGAGGAGGTGCCCGGCTCTTTTTAACAACAGCTCTGGGGGTGGGAGGGACTAACAGAGCAACAACTCACACGCCCTGGGGTCAAGGCATTAATCTATCCATGAGGGATCTGTCCCCATCACCCAGACACCTCCTCTTAAGGTCCCACCTCCAGCATTGGGGGGGGCAGATGTCAACATGACATTTAGAAAGGACAGCTGTTCAAATCATAGATCTGGAAATTCACTATAAAGGTTTGACGGATACAGTTAACCGTTTTGGGCTAGAACCCATCATAAGTGATGCTGTGTGTTTTGTTTTTCATTAGTGATGCCAGGATCATTCCTTGGCTTAAAGTGGTGACAGTCTGCATCCCAGCATGGTGGCTCATGCCTGTGAAGCTGCTTGGGAGGCTGAGGCAGGAGGTTGGCTTGAGGCATGGAGTTCAGGACCAACCTGGGCAACGTATAAACACTCTTGTCTCTGAAAAAACATTGTAAAAATTAGCTGTGCATAGTGACACGCACAAGTAGTCCCAGCTAGTCAGGAGGTTGAGTCAAGAGGATTGCTTAAGCCCGAGAGTTTGAGGTTGCTGTGAGCTCTGATGACACCATGTCACCCCAGCCAGGACAACAAGCCGAGGCAGGAGTTCAAGGCTGCAGTGAGCTATATAATCAGGCCACTGCACTCCATCCTGGGTGACATGGCAAGACCCTCTCTCAAAATAAGGTGGTAACATTCTGATCTTACCATTATGAACTCAATTGTGTTACTTTGACCCTGTATAAATGTCCAGTCCCCTAAATGTTTGTTGGGTTTTGCTTTTGTTGTTGGTCTTTTGCTAATTGGGATTGCTAGAGTCAATGATCTTTTTAGAGGTCATGGAATGAGGATTTCCTAAAATATTTCTGTTATTCGTGCTACGTTATACTTTGGCATTGTCAAAAAAGTAAAGCCTGGCCTCCTCTACTTGGCCGGTCTGACTGTCCTGGAATGCCTTTCCTACTGGAGAGTCAGGTTATATGCTCAGTTCTTTGCTGTGGGTTACAGGATTGTGAATAAGGATTTGCTTTCATGGGCCTGGAATCTTCTGTTCCTCCAAGGACCTTCCACTGGTGATTGAGGGACAGAACTGGTTGCTAAGGCTTGCTACTAAAAAGATGCTATTTCCAGGCAGTGGGCAAAACTAGTAAATAGCCTTCTAAAAATATATGAATCTGTACTCATTATTTTCAAATCTGTTTTAACATCACACAGTTTTTACTTAGTTTCTTTGATTTACAATTTTTTTTCTTACACCAAAACTATTGTCTTACTTTATCCCACAATAAAAAGAAAAGAATTTAAAAAAATAAGTTAATTTTTGTAGAACTGGTAACTGGGGCTTATGGAAGTAACTGATCATCATGCCACAAAAAAGACACCCTTGGTTTTCTGAATCTGTTGGCAAAGTCCTTACTCACCATAATAAACTATTATTGTCTGAGCCATAAATTCACTTTAGCGTATGCATGACTGATTTTGTAAATATAAATAAATAAATAAATAAATAAATGTTTCCTATACCCTGTGAGAATACATAGAGTGGTGGGTATAGTCTTACATTTCTGTGGCTTTCTCTCCCACATGTGGCTCTGAACTTAGAGGGAAGGTGTTCACATGGCCTGGAGTGGCAGCCAGAATTCATTCTAGCCCCTGCCCCCTTCTCGTTGAGTCTCACATCCCTTTTTGTTCGGTTTCTCCCAGTGTGACAGGTTGCCAGGGTGAGCTGCCTTTGATGTCACCCCTCCCGCTCTGGCATGACATCCCTCTCTTGATCTTCGCAGGTACCTGTTTGCTCTGCAGGTGAAGCAGGACTTGGCTCAAGGCAGGTTGACGTGCAACGACACCAGTGCAGCTCTCCTGATTTCACACATCGTACAGTGTAAGTGCTGTTGGTTTTCATTGAAATCTTTTTGGAAATAATACAGTGATCTGACCGATGGGGGGAAATCGTCACATCCACAAAAAAGCCCAGTAACAATATCGTTGTGTTACTTTTGCTGTTAGCGTGAAGGCCCGTGGGTAGAAGAGAAAGCAAGACTCTTAACATTAATATGCTCATCCCCAGACATTAACCCACAAATTCTCTGGCGTTTGTCTGCTTTGTTCAAGGACTAGTACACAGCGATGTCTGTGGTCTCAAAGGAAAAGCTTGGACGGATGGCATCTGAGTAGTGTACTTGTTCCATCCTGTTCTTGGATTTAAGCTGCATCCTTGAGTGTGGCACAGTAGCCATAAGACATAAAGCTGCCACAGATTTCACTTCTTTTTAGAGTGTTGTACTCTCCAGAATTCAGTAAACCAAGATTCATGAAGCTGGACTGAGTCCTAGTGATGCTTGAAACTAGCTCCTTTAACTTATCTTAATCTAGACAAGGTACAAATCAGAGTGAGCTCAGTTCAAGCTCTGACGAAGGCAAAGTGACTTGCCAGCACTGTGTGTATGAGCTCATCAGTTCCTACACAGCTGCCTGAGGCAAGTACTGTTATTATGCTCATTTTACAAGTGAGGAAGCTTTGGCACAGAAAGTTACATAACTTTTTCCTTTCCTGTGTTGGTCTTCCCGCCTTTTTCATAAATTGAGAGCGGAGAGAGACAGGAATGCTTTGCATCAGACGGTCTTGGTTTCTCTTATTTGGTTGATGACCCCGGCATGTTACCAACCCGCTAACCTCCATTTCTTTTGGAATAAGAGACTAATAGAATCTTTTTCATAAGGCTGTGAAAATTAAATGATAGCATATACTCAGCATGAACGGAGGATGGATTCTCGGATCTCCAAAGGATTCCAAATCCAAGGACGTTCAAAGTCCCTGATATAAAATGGCCTAGTATTTGCACACCACCTCCACACATCTGATACTTTAAATCATTTTTAGATTAGTGATAATACCTAATACTAGGTAAATGCTATGTCAGTGGTATACTGTATTATTTAGGGAATAATGACAAGAAAAAGATGTCTATACATGTTCAGTAAAGATGCCGGGTTTTTTCCTGAATATTTTTGCTCCCCAGTTGGTTGAATCCATTGACAGGGGACCCACAGATGGAGACGGCTGACTGTGTACGCAAGACATCTTAGGTGTTCAGTAAACATTACTTTTTCTTTATCCTCACTCACTTGCAAACAATGTAAGATTTTTAAATGAAGCTTCCTTACTGGAATAGTAACTTCACAAATGTCTCCGACCCTGGGCCTTTTATTAACAGAAGAGAACTTTACCTCACTTGAAGATTCTGGATGCCATTATTCTCATTCCTCATTTCTGTGTTTCTTTCTCTTAAAAATCTGCTACATTAAGAATAGATTTTAAGTGTTCTCAAAACAAGAAAATATGGGAGGTAATGCACATGTTAATTAGCTCAATTGAGCCCTTCCAAATGCATCTGTACATCAAAACATCATGTTGCTCACCATAAATATACACAATTTTTATCAATTACAAAACTGAACATCTGTTAACAACAGTGACTCCCACTCGCACATCTGAGAATGGAGATTCGCTGACGCTTCGGAAACCAGGAAACCATTCCCTAAGACTCTTCATTCTCCAAAGATAGTTAAATAGATGGCCTCAGAAGTACTCCCGCTGTTTCCATGGGATTCGACGCACAGTTATGAGACACATTTTCTTTTAATATTTATAAAGCCCCATTTCTGCATTTTTAAGCATCCCATGCACTCAGCCACAAAAAGAATTTCACACAATCTTCTAGAAACTGTGTCTTGATTTTTATTGGCAATTATGCACATTCTTGGTAAGTTTTTAGGGGTTAGCAGGGTCAACTCATCCCTCTTTGGTGTACACCGTATTAATCCTGACGGAAAATTATCTCAAGTGAGCTGGATATTCATCTCCTTTGTATCCATACACACAGTCTGAAGTCTTTTATTATTATCTGAAATAATCCAAGTGGAGTCTTTCCGCTAGTCTGTATTTTTTCTTTTGTTCCTCTGCCACTGGCTTTCTCTAACTTAATGGTGGATCAACGAAGCAGGACAAGCTGATGAAGAGATGAATCAGGCACTAGATGGCCCTGCTGTAAAAATGCCTCTCGGGCGGTGTGGTGGCACAGCAGGGCCACATACATCCCCCAAAGAAATCCCTTTCATTGATTGAGATCCCTGGATTTTGGTTTGTTGTTGCCCCCATAACCTTGCTGTCAGTGCACAGAATATACATAAGCTGATGGGACATCATGTGGCATAAAGAAATAGAAGTCAGATCTTGAATATCTCAAAATCTAAGGAGGAATCTTACTACCATGTTTCCAAGAGGCACAGAAGCAGGGGGAGCAAGTGAGTTTCCTGGTCACATTGCTACGGCATTCAAGAAGGGCAAGAAAAGAAGAAAGAGAATTAGATATGGCTGCCCTGATGTCAGAGGACAAACTTGAATACTCAACTCTTTATTTGGGGTGCTGAGAAAGAGTACGTTATAAGATCCATGAGCATTAAAAACCCCAAACTAGAACTCACAAGAAATTTAGGATTTAGGTGATTCCTCCATATCCTTGTTATTTTCAGATTCTGTGTTTGCAAATGCTTACTGGCTGGTATTTATTTCTAAGCCCCAAATCAATATTCATGTATCTTTGTGGTCATTTGTGAACATGCCTAGGATGGTGAGAAGTCGGAGTCACCTGATGTGCACATTCCCAGCTGAGGCTGAATGAGGCAACGCTCTCCCTCCCTGGTTCTCCTGCTACTGTTAACAAGCGTCCTTTCCATGGTCTATTTAATGCCATGCTTTTCGAGTTTATCTGCTTATTGTTGGTGATTTCACTATTCCAAATGGCCCCCAAGCACAGTGCTGAAGTGCTGTGTAGTGTCCCTAAGTGTCGTGCCATCTGCCTTGCAGAGAAAGCACGTGTGTTTAGATAAGCTTTGCTCATGCGTGAGTTCTACTGCTGCTGGGCGGTGACTTTAACGTGAAGGAATTGGAACGTGGCTCTCACAGAAGCACGCGTCAAACAAGGGCAGTGCACGAGGACATTTCAAGAGTATTGCAGGACCAGACCTGTGTCTCCCCAAGGAGCAGCAGTTCAGTAATCACCAATTCCCTGTTCTCAGTGACTTTACAGATCACAGCCACCGCAAACAACAAGAATCAGCTGTAGTTTCTTGAGACAAGATAGAATTGTCAGGGCAGCAGATCAGATGGCAGTGTGAGCAGGGATGCCCACCATTTCTGAACTATTTCTGTGATGGAGGGTGGCAATTTTACTCTATTTGGGGAGGGAGAATCAGGTCCAGGAAAGGTAATTAGGAAATAGTGTCATTGGTCTGACATTGCAGGAGGAAACTCGTGATCAATCAGTTCTTCCAAGGCTCAGCTGTTGCTCGGTGAGTTTGCGCTGCTTTGGGTGTGATTTATGGCAACACGTAGGTCATATAGGTCATTATAAATTAGATCCTGCCTAATTCCTGGAGGTGCGTTGCCCAAAGTGTGACAGTCCGCTTCAGATGACAAAAACAAAAGGTAGATTTCATGGCAAACTTCCTCATGCTTTTTATCAAAACAGCTGGGCTCTGATCATTGGGCTATTCCTTATGAAGCTTGTTATACAGAATACGTGATACAAAGGAAAAGGCCTGCAGTCCCAGAAGCCTTACAGCTGGTCCAAACTGAGCTTGAGCTAGTGTTGTTAAAGTACAATTATGCTTTTAAAGCTCTGTCATTTAAATTTCCACATGACAGCAATTTTCAGGACTATGTTGAGGTTGCATGAGAATGTAACTGTGTCTTATTTCTCCTAGATGAAAAATTCTTTAGACTTTGCAATCTGACCTGTTATTTCTGGTAACAAGACTATAAGAAATGCAATGAACTCTTAAATTAAAAAAAATTAGATTATCTACCATGACAGCCACTAAACAATTCTGTTTTCTCTACATGATAAAACATTTGCATTAATCATTGCTATATATAAGAGTTTCAAAATTTGATTTGATCCTGAAACACCAGGGTCGATCTGGCAGTCCTGTGATAATCATCCCCTGGATAGAATTTACTGCTGGGAAGAAAAGTGAGCTCCCAGGTGGTTGGAGAGGCATGTGTATGGCTAAAGATGGATGATTCTGAAGCGTCTTTACAACTGGCAGAGATCAGGAGGAGAAACCATTGTCCTGCCTTTCTGTGATTGCTAAATACATCCTTACGTCCCCACCTCTGAAATCCAGCCTTAGAATAGTTCCTACCAGCTGGGCTTACCATATGGTGTCCACTAGCTGGAAAATATAACCAATTGTGAAGTGTTAATCTTCTGGGGCCTACTTCACATTCTCTGTTCCCTTTTAGCGGAGATTGGGGATTTTGATGAAGCATTGGACAGAGAGCACCTAGCAAAAAATAAGTACATACCTCAGCAAGATGCACTAGAAGACAAAATCGTGGAGTTTCATCACAACCACATGTAAGTCTCATTCACGGACCCACACGCTCCTTTGAGCTGTTTCTCTGCCGCCCAGCTTATGTGGGTGTACACACACACACCCCATTGTGAAGAGATACACAAAAGGTGAGAGTTGGAGATCACAGTGCCTTATTGAGATGTTGCAACTTACCCTGGGCTCGCAGAAATGCAGGCTGCCCACTCAGGACCGCGCCCTGGCTTGCCTTCCTGAGAGACCAGAGAAAGCCTGGAATTTTAGGGGCAGCCCATATGTTGGAATAAAAGGGAGAGTCTAAGGCCAAGGGACCATCTAGTTACCATCTTAACAGGAAATTGGGAAAGGGACAAGGTAAACTAGGGGCAAAGTAAGAATATTGTGAAAATCGAGAACCTTCATCACATGTGCATTTTTGTTTGGATTAGAAAAATGTTTTCAAAGTTTTAGACCTGCAGACTTTTTTTTGTTATTTTAAAGAAGGCCTTTGAGCCTGATGACAGTATGAAAGAGTGCTGCCTTGAACTTTGCTTGCAAATTTAGGTTATTGTAAGTGACTAAAAACTTGTTTTAACACAGTGGTGTTTTGCTTTTATATGACCTTAAAGGAAACTCTTTGAAATTCAAAAAAAACTGGCTGAGTTCAAGATAGACTTTGGAGGTTTTGTGTTACACAAGCAATGGTGCTTTTGTCCTAGCTGTGAGACTTTGGGTATAATGAATGGGAGGTTAGGTGTCATCTGATCAGGTACCCCCACTGTTGGTGATGAAATGCCTTTTTATTTCCCAAGAGGAGCATCTTAATCTCAAATTAATAGACACAGGGAATTCAAATCTCCTGGCCTTTCTCTTTAATTTTGTTTTGTCAGTGGACAAACACCAGCAGAGTCAGATTTCCAACTCCTGGAGATTGCCCGTCGGCTGGAGATGTATGGAATCCGGTTGCACCCCGCCAAGGACAGGGAAGGCACAAAGATCAATCTGGCCGTGGCCAACACGGGAATTCTAGTGTTTCAGGTGAGAGCATTCAGGACACAGCTCAGTTCCCTTGGTGCTGGAGAGAGAAGAGCCGACCCTGCAACTCTGATTCATGTTGGGTGGGCCAAGTTGGGACCTCTGATAGTTGGACAGCAGAAGACTAGCTTCATCTGAGCTCTCAGCCGCCACGTTCTTTCATTCGCTCCTGCCCTGGTTGGAGAATCCACGGTACAGATCTGTTTAGGTTTATTGATTTTGTAGGATCACAGAAACCTGTGTCTCTCAGGGGGGCTGTAGAATCAAGATTTCACACCTCAAATAAATAGCTTTTTCCCCACTTACAGGTTGTATTTTCCTGTAATGTAATCCCTTTTTTGAAATTAAACCTAATTTGGGTTAGCCAGCTTCCTGGGGGCTTCCAATGGGGTTCCATTTCCCCCAGTGTTGAACTTGAACTGTAAACGCCACCATCTAAAACCTCCTTTGAGCTCTTCAGTTGAGTTTATGTCCCTCCTCATACTTGAGCAGAAGAGTCCCAGCGATTCTCTGCTCCCTCATCAGAAGTTTATGACAGAAGCAAACTGTCAGAGAAGTCACACTCACCACTGGTTTCCCAGGTGGTAGTAAGGAGCGACATTCTGAGAGCAGTACAGTCTTGGAGGCAGTGACTGCCCATAACAGTTTTGACCCGCGTGCGTGCTCCATGAGCACCGGATGAGAAAAACGCCAATAAAACCCAGAAGCGTTTTCAGGACTACTGCAAAAATCGCAACCCTGAACTGTTTCTAAAGATCATAAAGGAGGGAGAAGTGCCTCCCACTGAGTAGATTGGCTCTGACTGCCTCAGAGACAACCTAAATGTGGAGAATCAAGGCCGGCACCGTGGCTCACACCTGTAATCCCAGCATTCTGGGAGGCCAAGGCAGTAGATTGCCTGAGCCTAGGAGTTTGAGAACAGCCTGCGCCAGAGCAAAGCCCCATCTCTAAAAAATAACCAGGCATTGTGGTGGGTGCCTGTCGTCCTAGCTACTTGGGAGGCTGAGGCAAGAGGATTGCTTGAGCCCAAGAATCTGAGATTGCTGTGAGCTGTGACATCACAGCACTCTACCAAGGGTAACAAAGTGAGACTCTGACTCAAAAATAAATATATAGATAGATAATTAAAACAAAATTAAGTATGAAGAATCACTAGGTCATTTAATCATGTATAATGGCTGTATTTCCACATTGATCTTCTTGCCAGAACCTATTGCCTTATTCTCACCACTTATAATAAATAAGCCTGGTGGTCAGGTGGGCACAAGAGAATTTCTAGTTTCAGTGGAGACAAGGCAGATGCAAGTTCGGATCTGGAGGCCCCCCACCTTGTCAGGCCACCAATGATGACAAGGATGTGTGTGGGCTGCCCCGTGCGCTGGCCTTGGAGACACGTGGCAGGGCTCGCCTCTGGTCCTCAGTCTCACTGGGGCTGTGGGAAGCTCGGTGGGCATGAGGCCAAACCAATGTGGACAAAGAGGGCGTCAATTGCTAAGCTGCTGGGTGTTAGTGGGAGCTGCTGGTTAAGGCCTGTGCTTGTGACTCTTTCTGCAACATTTCCCATGTGATTTTGGACAAATTAAAATATATCCATGTTGCACTTTCCACGTCTAGAGAATGAAGGCAGTAAATCTGGCCCACTGGGTTTTGTAGGATAAGGTTTGACCACCTGAGATCTGTAAAGCCCCAAGGAGGTACCTGACGCTCCCAGTGTGATGGCTGCTAGTTACTGTGGTGCTTGTGATGGTTTTTATTTCTATTTAATTTCTTTTCACCCTTCCCTTGACCAGCTCATTCTCTCCCTGGGGACAGACTAAGCTTGCATGCCAAACCACGTAATTAGTGAGGAATAATGAATGACTGGGAATAGGTATCAGCCGGCAGCCACAGGTCCTGTGAATTCTCTGCAGAAAGCATCTTCACTCTCTGCGCCAGCCTCTGCTGACCACGTCCCTGAGCAGGTCACCTGTTACACATTTCCTGGCTCAGCTGCTGCTGTCTTTCTCCTCAGGGTTTCACAAAGATCAACGCCTTCAACTGGGCCAAGGTGCGGAAGCTGAGCTTTAAGAGGAAGCGCTTTCTCATCAAGCTGCGGCCGGACGCCAATGTGAGTGGCTCACGTGGGGGGGTCCTGCGAGGGGCGGAGGTCTGCCCTCGGCGGGTCCACGCTACCCAGGTGCTTCATGAGAAGGAACGCTGAGTGTCCGAGTGGACGGCTGTATCCAGATGCTGAGTAACGCCGTCATCCTCGGTACACAGAGAGAGTGTGAGGATGCCCAGCTGTATACCAGGGAGAGGGTCACTTCCCTGTACAGATCCAGGCAGCTTCTGGCCCCACCTGGAAACCCTGTTCAGGGGTGTCTGTCCCCCAGACAATGTGGGTGTGTGTCCCCCGACATTCCCATGGGCTAACCAGGTCCTGCCCACCTATTTCCCACAAAACCCCTAAACACATGGTTCATGAACACAGGGACTGGGTTGGGGAAGGGAAGAGCAACATCACCTTTGTTGGGCAGAAATGGCGACAGAGGAGATGGATGATGTATCCGAGGAGTCTGTCCCCAACAGAACCTAGAGTTCTTTTTCCTATGGGAAAGAAGACGCTAAGTGATAATACGGACTTCCAGATTAGCTGCACTGTGGATTAAACACGCTTTCCTGGGCTGACCCAGGGAGCATGTTGCCCTTACTAATGCTGATGGTTTTTTATGGGGAAACGCATTTGCGTTCCAGAAAGCTGCCGCACAAACGAATGGCAGCACACCTTGTTTGTAATTGGGTCTGCCTGAAACTGAGACATTCCCCCAAATAGTTGTAGCTGCTAAAAATGTTAAGGATCGTGGTAACTTTTGTTTATATGGTACGGTCACTTCAAATTACGAGTGTTCAGTGAAGAGGTAGAAAATTACCGTACCTCCTTTCCAGAATCAAAGGACATGAATTTTTTAGCCAAGAGCGATATTTTTATGCTCCAGAAAAAAAAAAATTCATTTCTTATGTAGTTCCTCAGGCCACGTGGAGGCTTGAGCTGTGTATTACCTTATCAAGAGATAACTTAAGACAAAACAAAAAGTCAGTCAGGTATGGAGACTCACGCCTGTAATCCTAGCACTCTGGGACACTAAGGCTGGTGGATGCCTGAGCTCACAAGTTCCAGACCAGTCTGAGCAAGAGCGAGACCTTGTCTCTACTAGAAATAAAAAAACTAGCCAGGCATTATGGTGGGCACCTGTAGTCCCAGGTAGTTGGAGAGGCTGAGGCAAGAGCATCACTTGAGCCTGAGAGGCTGAGGTTGCTGTGAGCAGGTTGCTGTGAGCATGCCATGGTACTCTACCGGAGGTGACAAAGTGAAAAGACAGAAGTCAAAGTTAATATGAAATGGGAGGAAGAAAACAAAGAAAAATTGTGTTTCAATTATTTTAAGGAGGCAAAAAAGGAATTTCAGCATCTAGATTTTTTTTAAAGAAGGAAATGTAAGCCAAGTAAACATAATTTTTGTTTTTAAATTCTGTTAAAAAATGGTATTGCTCCTACTGAATGTATACCACTGTTTTCTCTTAGTTCCTACGCAGTCTGTGGGTAGGAAAATGGTTGAATTGTGACTATGTCTGTCACTAGGAATAACTTTATTCTACTAAATCTTTGAATTTATAGTCATACTATAATAAAATACACAATTGAAATTTTACTGGGCAGATGATTTTCCACCCATGTTCTCATAGTCTAGTGGAGTCTCTGTGGGTAAAGGCAAAAAAACAAAGTTATATCTTCTCTTCCTCTTCAGAGCTCTTACCAGGACACCTTGGAATTCCTAATGGCCAGCCGGGATTTTTGCAAGTCCTTCTGGAAAATCTGCGTTGAACATCATGCCTTTTTTAGACTTTTTGAAGAGCCCAAACCAAAGCCAAAACCTGTTCTCTTTAGTCGAGGGTCATCATTCCGGTTCAGGTAAGGTTGCCACTTCGAGCCTGTCTGCCTTCCCCGCGGACATTTTTCCCTGCTCCTGTCTCTGTATCGTACGGTGGTGACAATCCAGCAGGTAGACAAGGAGGCCCCCAGGATTTCTGGCTGACAGAGGCGTTTGCCTCATCGTCCAGCAGACCTCTGGATTGTCCTGCTGGGCTGTGTGAGCAGTAGAGGGCACCCAGCAAGGTCCCCGGTCACAGAGCACCCCTAACAGGACACTGTAACACGGATGAAAAGTATCTGGTTGGCTTGGGTGTTGCTTCATAAAGTCCACGTTGCAGCACGTGGACTTGCACGTCACTGGTTCCCGTCTCCACTCCTTCAGCAGATACTCAAGTATCCACCATGTGTCAGACGCTGCCGTCGGCACTCACCAGCTGCCTCTGCCTTCCTGAAAGGAGGAGGCTCTCGGGATGGTCTCTTAATAACCAAGCACCACCACTAAGTGAGCTTAGTGAATCGAACGTTTTTTCTGTATGTGTGGACACACAAACACAGGTTCTCACAGGGTCGCTGTTAGCCCCGGCCAGCTGAGGAAACCCACTCACCTCCCGCGTAGGACAAGTGGGGAAGTGGAGATGGTGCGGTGTCTGTGAGTGTAGATGAGAACTCCTGGGGTCTTTCCCCCTTTCTTCTCGTGGTCTTCGTTTCAGTGGTCGGACCCAGAAGCAGGTTCTCGACTATGTTAAGGAAGGAGGACATAAGAAGGTGCAGTTCGAAAGGTAAGAGAAGCTCCGTGCTGTTTCCCATGCGAGAAGAATGAGAATCCCCCTCATCTCCAGGTAAAGGCCCATTACTCACCCAGGCTTGGCGTCCAGTGACTCTAAGTTACAACATCATAGTCAGCCTCAGCGAGTTCAATGCTAGGAGCTCAGGAGTTCGAGACCAGCCTGAGCAAGAGGGAGACCCCATCTCTATTAAAAATAGAAAAAAAATACTAGCTGGGAGTTGTGGTAGGCACCTGTAGTCCCAGCTACTCAGGAGGCTGAGGCAGGAGGATCGCTTGAGCCCAGGAGTTTGAGGTTGCTGTGAGCTATGACAGCACAGCACTCTAGCGAGGGTAGCAGAGTGACACTGTCTAAAAATAAAAATAAGTAAATAAAAATGTAAAAAGAGTAAGATGAGATACAGCAAGGTGGCTGGCAGAGGGCAAGGGGAGAGTACGGTGGGGGTTACACACTGTGAAATGGTTTCATGGATGAGTCCTTTAGTATTTTGAGATTTGTATCAAAAGTATTTCTGTGGACTTTGGACAGAAACAGGATGTATTGCTGCTGTGCTTGTCGTCAGTAAACCTTATAGCTCCCAGTACGTGTCAGGCGACGTTTTAAGCACTGGGCCTGTATTAACTGCTCCAGTCTTCGTAGCAGCTTCTGAGTCTGATGTCCTTCTCTTCCCTTTGTGAAGACAGAGACACTGAAGCTCTTGTGGGTTAGTGACTAGCCCAGGTCTCAGGGCAGGGAAATGGCCCAGCACTCTTCGGCACTGCTGTGTCCCCAGAGCAGAGCAGCAGAACCCCGCCCAAGGCTACAGCAAGGTGCAGAGAGCACAGCCAGGGACCCAAAGCATTCTTAAAAGACTTTTTCTTTTTACACTTTTCACACATTCAAAAATTATAATTTTTAAAGTATAGAGAAGACAGCAAATTACCCACATCCTTTCTAGTTAGAATTAATAACTATTAGTGTTTCGACACATTTACTTCTTCTGTTTGTAGCTATGGTTACAGATGCGGCTAAACCACCTTGAGCCAGTGGCCTTCACTGTTCCCCTTGACCTCTCCCCAGAGGAAGCCGTCAGAATTCTGCTCCTTTCTGTGTGCAGGCTTACACATCCACGGAGCGCGTAGAATTGTGCTCTGGGTGTGTGCTTTTTGTTCACATAAGTACTCTCAGACTGTGTGTAATTCTGCATCTTTTTTTAACCCTACCCTATTTTTTTGGAGATATTTTTTAAATGCCCTGTAGTATTTTAAAGGTGCTACATTTCATTTACTGATTCCCTATTTGATAAGCATTCAGGTCATGTCAGTGTTTTGTTTGGATTTTGCCAAAACCAGCCTGCTGCTGTGGCTGTGTTTGTTTACACCTCCGATACAAGTCTGGGGCGTTTCTCATGCCATCTCCAGAAATGGAAGGTTTTCTGCTGCCATCTGAGATAAACCCCTTCGTTCTCTTGTACACTTAATAATTAGCATCCTGAGGACCATCTAAGAAGTGGCCCAGTTCTTTGATTCAGAATGTGGATGCTCTTGAGCTTTTCTGTGTTAATTTGGAGTATTTTGAAGAAAAGCGGGTTGAAACTTGGAAGGTGATCACTGTGTACTTACAGAGACTTACACTGCTTCGTGAGTTCCAGAAAAGTTTCTAATGCTTATTCCATGTGGGCAAGGGGAGAAAGGGAAGAGGTAAGACATGGGGGTGGCATTAAAGTCACTCCGTTCACTGTTGACTGTGTATGTGAGGCAGAGGGCAGGCCTCTGCCTCACTCCGATAGAGTTAGCCTAGTAGTGGAATCACCTCTGTTAGAGCAAAGAATGACCCAAGTACCTAAATTGATTCCATTCTATTATATGGTAGCTTGTGATTCGGAGGGTGTGAAGGCCCAGCCAGCTTCTTCCTCGGGGACCCCTCCCATAACCAGAAAGGCAATACTCAGCTAGAACAGGGGCTTCTGAGAATTTTTTCAAAATAATAACCCCTGAATCATGCAAGCGTTATAAGAGGATGACTACGTGTCTGTTTCCAGGTAGTGTTTATTTATTTTTAGAGACAGGGTCTCACTCTGCTGCCCAGGCCAGGGTGCGTAGCCCGAGCGATCATTGCTCACTGCAGCCTCCAACTCCTGAGCTTACGTGATCCTCCCACCTCAGCCTCTCAAGTAGGATTATAGATGCATGCCACTGCTAACTTCTACTTTTTTCGTAGGATCAGGGTCTCTCTGTGTTGCTCAGCTGGTCTTGAACTCCACGGCTCAAGTGATCCTCCTGCCTCAGCCTCCTGAAGTGCTGGAATTACAGACAGGAGCCGTTGGGCCCAAGCCTAGGCAGCATGTGTAAAAGTAGCTTGGGGCACCTTCATTATGGAGGAAGGACCTAATACATCAAACCAAAGCATGTTTTGTTTCGTTTAAAAGGGAAAAAAAAAAAAAAAAAAAACTTCACCTACCTTTAGCTCTTTTGTGTGGTTTCTTCCAGAAAACACAGCAAGATTCATTCTATCAGGAGCCTTGCGACACAGCCCACAGAACTGAACTCAGAAGTGCCAAAACAGGTCAGTGCTGGGCATTAGTGCGGTGACCGATTTTTTCCAGGCTCCTCTACTGAGCACCGGGCTCTAGAGGGTGCTTTTTGGTTCCTCCCACCTCACCTGGAGGGATTTCATAGATAAGAATGGTTGTACACTTTGATCTTGGTGGCTACACAGAGCTCTGAGCTTGGGGGCCCAGGCATGTGTCCTGTCTCCAGCTGACTCCCGATCTTCCATTCTGTGCTCTGTGCCACGGAGAACTCAGCTTGCAGTGGGTCCATCCATGAGAGCCAGGAGAGTGAGCTCAGCCCCCCAGCTGAACAGGGGGTCCACTTGTGTGTGTGTGTGTGGAGGGGGGGTCCTGTGTCAACTGCTGGGCGTAGTAGCTCTTACTTGGTGCTGAGGTCAGAAGCCTTCCCTGGCACCGAACAGGGCAGCGAGTTCCCAGGGCTTGTGTTACAGGGCACTGACCACAGCTGGCAACAAGAGGCTTTATCACTCTTGTTCTGAGGGTGACGAGAGCTGGTTTTATTTGGAGCTGTCCCTGGGTCAGTTTTCAGGGTTTTCCCTAACAGAGAATGAGAACCTTGTTGGGGGAAAACATGAAGGCAGTGTCATCATGTGAATCCAAAAAGGGCCCTTCTCCAGCCAGGCTGCCCTAAGAAGTTTTTTGTCGCCTTTCTGAAGGCCATTGCACCTGCCTTCAGGGGTCCTGGTGTGTTTTCCTTCTATGCCTCCCCTCCCTAGGGAGGCCCCACGCGAGCTGGAAGGGCTGTAAGTCTGGAAACCCAATATGAGGCTCTGGGTCCTAGAAAGCAGAGATAGAGGCTAACTTGTGCGGCCGGGGCTCAGTGTTGTCAGCTTCCACACCCCAAAAGAACCCTCTGGATCATAGCCAAATGTGCCTCTTTGAGTGCTGGCTTATTGTCAGAGTGCTGTGACTGACCCTGGGGAGGGCAGCTTATCTGGCAGTCATTTCAGCCACTCGGAGCTTAAGATGCTGTTACCCAGCCTCTGACCTCTCTCTGTTGTTTGGCCTCCCTCTCCCCTCCCTCCCTCCCTCCCCTCATTTCCTTCATCTTCGCCTCACCCCTCCCCACCCAGTCTCCACAGAGCACCAGCCTTAGGTTTGGAGAAGGGGCCGAATCTCCCGGTGGCCAGAGCTGCCAGCAAGGAAAGGAACTGAATGTTTCGGAGTCGGGACCGCGTCACAGCCCCACTCTGAAGAAGAGCCCCTCAGGTGACCAGCAGGCGGATGGAGCCGTCACGGCACCGGCAGAGGAAGAGGAGGAGGCCGCTAAGGACAGGACCCAGCAGAGTAAACGGCAGCCCCCGCAGCCAGGCACAGGTCCAGCATCCCGGGCTGCCAGGGGCAGCAGCACTTCCATCCCTTTCATTGACTGCAGTGACGTAGATAGTGAACACGACCTGCTCAGAGAGCAGGCGTCCCGGTCTCGGTCCCAAACAAATGACAATTATGAGGGTGATTTGACCAGTGGCGTTTATCTGCTCTCCAGGGAGGAGAGGCGCATAGAGGCTAGGCGTAGGGCTTCTCCTCACTCTGCAAAGTCCTCCCAGCCTCCTTCCACAGAATTCCTTGATGACGATTCAGCAGACATAACCTTTGACATGAGCGGGAGCCCTAGACTCCCGAGACATAGCTCTCTGATAGATGAGATGTTCAGGGCCTCAGCTGGCCACAGCCCCCTGGCCACCCCATTATCCCCCAGCAGCAGAAGTTCAAGTCCAAACATGAGTTGGGACAGAACTGGGTCTCAAGGCTATATTTCTGAAAATGGACATGACTATAGGGAGAGGGGTATGGGGGGAGATGTTCTCCCAAGCCAGGGTCTTCCTTATGAAAACTGCTCCCCCATCTTGCAAAGGCCATACTTACGGAGTCTTCCCAGTAGATACAACGAGTCAGAGACAGATCCACTCATCCTTAGCCAGGTAGCAGCAACCCCGGAGGCCACTGATAGGCTAGACGGCCTCGGAAGGGACGTGGCTGCTTCTCAAGGCAGAACGCTGGCTAACGGCACCCCTCTCTCAGGTACCCCCACAAAGATTCCCGGCACACAGTCCATATGTGGCAGTGGCATGGCAGACCAGCCGGCCCCCCTGCAGATGACCGAGGGCTCCACCAGCAGTGGGACCGAGTCCAGTGACTCAGACTCTGAAATGGTGGACCCCAGGCACCAGCCCCTCGTGTTTAGAAACCCTGGCGTGCTGAGCTCCCCTGCGCTGGTGAGAAGTCAGGTCTCCTTGCAGGGCCTACCTTTGAGTGAGAGGCCCGAGGAGGATGAGTGAAGAGGCAGGTCTTCAGCTATGAGCAGCCTGGGGTCACAACTCCAGAGTTTCAGTTGAGATGATCTGTCTTAGTGATTCATTCATTGTTAGTCAACATTTGTAAGAGGAAATTTTGAACAAGTACCTGTTTGCATAGTCTGGCTGACTTGCAAAATCTCTAAGAAAAACAAAACTTTACATAAGCATCTTGCTTTGCAGAAAAGGTGGTTGCCAGGAGCTTATTTTCTTGATTGAAGGCTAGGAAGAATCTTTATTATGAATCCGATGCTGTGCCGAGTGTTACATGCACATGGCAGTCTTCATGTATGTTCAATTATTGGTTGAGCATGTATCGCCGAGATCACAAGAAAGGGGGTGGTTTCCCTTTCCCCCTTCTTTAAGAGGAAAGCTGCTGTTCTATGCCTCATAAAGAGGAGTTGACAAAATTCAAGGCCAAATATAAATTAATGGCTAGTTGAGATCGTGGTGGTGAAATCTTAGTTAAGAATAATGAATGTCTTAGTGGGAGGAATTAGGGGTTATTTCTGCTTTCCAGGCTTTATGTGAACTATTAGAAAGGTCGTTAGACCCTTCTGAGCTGTAATTTTCTTGGGATTGCTGGCTTGGTTTGGGTTTGCATTGGTGGAGATAATCACACTGTTTAGTTGTGTTTTAAGAAGTCATAGTTCTTCCTCTCAGAATCTCCTGGTGAAATACAGAGATGCTATTGAGTGGGTCTGCAGGGAAAAGCAACGGCTCACAGTAGGCTCTGTGGTCACCAGTAGGTGAGCAAGGTAAATGTCTGCTTTTGAATCACACACCGTAAAGAATGACCGTCCTCCAGAGTGTCACTGCCCTTGGCTGGTTCACATGCACATACTTAGCACTCACGCTCTTGGAAACGGTGACACTCAGAAATGTTTCTCTGAGCAGAAAAAAGAAAGTTGTAAGTAGCGAGAGGTTTGACTTCTTTTTAAATCTTGCCCACTGATGTCAGTGCCTTTAGCCAGCATTCCTGCATTTTAGATCAAAGAGCCTGGTTTTAACTTACATCGTTTCTCTGCCTTAGTCGCCCATTGGAATAACTAGAGACATTTTAAAAATTAGAGATTTTGATCTAATTGGTCATAAGTGCCGGTTGGGTCCCCCCAGCTGGTTCTTGGGGCACCCTGGGTCACTTTCTGACCAGACTTCCTTGCCTTCTAGAATCTAGTGAAATATTAGCTAAATTTTTGGCTTGCTTGAAGAGTACGAAAAGCATAGCCCATGAAATGCTTTTTCTTAATGCCTGTTGTTGATACTTTATGGTTTTAGGTACTTTTTCTTTAAAGATATATTGTAGTATAAAATTTTCAGATCCTGAGTGACTATAAAGTTATTAGAAAGAGTTGCAATGAAGACATACCCCTGACGCGTGCTATGCCAGTGGCCTTACCGCCCTCATCGCGTGACTTTATCACGGGGGAGGAGCTAAACATTTTTAGGAAACTGGGTGGGAGTTGGCAGCAGTCTGTACAACAGAGAAGCTCTCCTTGTGGTTCACATATGATTATCTGTCCACATGAATGTTGAGAAGTCGGCTTTAAAGGTTCTGAACGTTTAATCCATTTTTATACAGACTTGTTTTGTTTAATTTTCCTAATCATTTGCTTCAGTGCATGATTGAATCAAACTAAATGTTGGATAGTTTGAAAGTTGTTCATTGAGGTAGTCTGTTTACATGTTGGTTTAGATTTATATATTGAACAGAATCACAGAATTTTAACCCTAGAAGGACCTTTAGAGATTATCCAGGCACACCTTCATTTTCTGGGGGAGAAAACTTGTTCTGATGAAGTTAAGTGACTTTTCATTCTGATATAGATACTTACTGCATGATGACGCTGAAACTGTATCCTTGTCCAGATTTCACCTTTTTAGGCTCTGTGATATCTTGGTGCAATAGGATCTTTTTTGATTCAGTATTTTAATTTTGGAAAGTCTTATATGGATTAATAATTAAAATCAGATGTGGAGACTAGAGATTTCGTAGACCTTGCTTAGACAATTACAGGCCATAATCGGCAGGGGAGAACCACTGCTTTTTATATTGTAGAGTTTTGCAGTTATAACACATGTTTGCATATTCTGTTTGGACTTAGAAAAAGATGTCAATCTACTATATGAAGGTTTAATCAAGTATGAGTTAAGCAGAGTCATACTCATACTTTGGAATCCTGTGGTTTATTTGTATAAGTGGTTTGTCAAATGAATTGTCTTTTTACCTCCAATTATATAGCAATCTGTAGTGACATACAAATGAGCCATAAATATTAACCCACCAGCACGTCATATGAATTACCAAGTATAAACCTCTGAAGCAGATCATGCTCCAGTAACTACTTTCTTTTGCTTTTCCCTCCAGAAATGATTTTATCTAAATCGTTTTAGAACTCAGTTGATCAATGGTGGCCTACTCAGTTCTGTATTGACAGAATTTTCCACTTTTAAGAGTTGCTTGCCAAGTTTTCCTCCCATTGTTTCTACACCAGCCAAGCAACTCAATTTCTGGTTATTGGCCAGTATTTATGAGAGCAGCAAACCTGGTGTAGCTAATGGCTTAAAACAGGGGAGGTCCAGTTTGTTCAAAGGCCACATAGGCTGATGTGCTGAGAATATTCTCTACTTGCCTCTAAGGGACTTGTCCTGGCCTAAATAAAGATTCTCTAACCTGAGTCCCGAAGTAAAATTAAGCATTCCCTGAGCCTGGTCGAGCAAGTTTGCTGAGATGATGTGGTTTCGCCTCTGAAATGAACAAATTCTACCATCTCACCCCCATGCCCTCTGACTTATGGGGGACTCCAGTCCCCACATCATTATAGGCCTGCACAGACAATCTCACCGTGTGGCTTAAGATGGGCACACGTTTACATGAAGTTGTACATAAGTTGAACTATTCATCACACTCCCCGAGGATGGGGGTGGGGGGAGTGTGATGAATAGGTAGCAGAGATTAGAGACTGGTGAATTCCTTCAAGAAATCCAGGCCTCTAGGCTCTCCGATACCAGCCTGCGTAAGACAAACTCTTTATAAAGTCATTTTAAAACCACTCTCAGTTACTCGGCGGCCTCCTTGCATTGATGTCTTCTGTTGGACATTATTTTAAAATATGTCAATTGTAGGCCCCTTTGTGGTTGCTGTTGCAGAAATTCTTGTAGCATGAAGAAATGCATTTAATGAGTTCCAGAACTTAAAATGAATTGCTTCAGTCCCTTTAACAGTCATCTGTATGCCATTGACGCTGTTTTATTAGACAGGCATTTAATTAGAGGAAGTCTGCGGGCCAGATTCTTTCCTACATGTGTGATTCATATTTGCAAATTTCTCACAGATTTATCTCACCAAATTGTGCTGCACGGCCTGCACTGAACATGTGAATTATCCTGATTTTATTCTCAAGAACTTCTTTGAAGATTCAAACCAAGCAATACTGAAAAAGCTAGACCTGAACAACTCTAAACTGTAACATGAGCCTCTCTAGATTTCCACTAAGTGTACAAAATTCCATCTGACCTGACTATGTGTCAGAAACTTGACTTCAGATTAGCCTGCAAATTATTTGATTGTGTTGTCAAGCAATTTCTAAAGGAAGAAATATATTTAAATATTAAACTGTCATTTTAAATGTTGTGCAGACTGTTGTCAGTGGGCATACAGATCCTTTTTCTTATCCATAATCAGTGTTCACATGTTTTTAATCAACTTTTTCCACTTAAGATATTATTTCAGATTTCAGTACAGGAGTTTGGTGGAACTCTAGCCATCAGCAAGCGATTAGGTTACAGGTAGACACAGCCCTAAATTAAGAAATCAGGGGCTTTCAGATTTATTTTGATGTTTCAGATTTATTTTGAATTTATTTGCTTCTATCTCAGTCTCTTCTCTTCACCTGGGCCCTTATTCTAATTAGTTGGAATCTTAACTCTTGAGAGGTACATTTCCCAGAATGGCTCTCTGCCCTTGTGATATACAAACATTCCTCTGGTGGTTGTGAGCTTAGTTACCTGAGGCTAGCCTTC